AACTGTGAAAAATTATAAATGTGTGCTACTTATCCACATGCTATATGTTCATAAACAGTGAGCTAGGTACTATTTTAACACAAATTCACCCATTCAGCAAATAGTCTTTGAGTGCTTATTATGTGCTAGGCACTCTGATAGGCCTTGGGGATGTTCAGTGTTTCAACTCAAGTCAGCAAACAATTGTGGTGTGAAAATCCTGTATGTCACCTGTAAAGTATAATATTCATGGTTTTGTGTATAAAATACAATCTGTAGTTACTTTTCTCCCTAAAATTAAGCTAGATCAACGGGAATAATGGAATATATACATTCGGGCTTTAGGGAATTATCAAATCTCTAGTTACAAAAGTATGAGTGAAGCATTTTAAAATTTTCTTTTTGCCCACAGCATTTATTCATTTTATTTCACATTTAAGTATCAAGACTATTAATGTATGTCAATATATTTTAAAAACTTTTTGAGGTTTAAACATTGTAGCAGTATCCCATTTTGGGGGGAGGATTAAAATTTAAATGAATTTTATACTGGGATGAATATGTTTATACTGAAGCTATTACTGTTGCTCATAAATGTATGGTAAGCTGGGTAGTGTTTACAGTTTCAGCTGGGCTTTCTTGTGTGACTGCAAATAACTGTGAGAGAGGAAGGCAGTTGTGCTGCTCTGTGTTGGGTGCTCTCACATAGTTGAGGTCAAGTGGCCTAAAATGGTCTCATGTAGAAAACCTGGGTGCTCTTTTCCTTCACATGGTGAGGACAGGGCTCCCAGACAGACAGACTAGGAAGGGAGTCCTCACTTCTGCCAAATTCTATTGACTGAGGCAGTCACAGACCAGTGTGGCATAAGAGTGGAAGGGAACTATCAAGTTACAAAGCAAAGGGGATCATTAATGGAAGTCATCAAAGCCAAAACAGTCCATCTGCCCACCCCTAAGTAGGTGAGCACCACTGATCTTGTGCATTAATGGGCACATGTACCAAGGTTTGCAAAAGTACCGAAGCAAAGAATCCCTTAAATCTTCTTATAGCAAAGACAGGGTAGACTGACTGACTCCTTTAAACGAGTAAAAAATAAATAAAAATGAGTCATTGCCTGTTCCTTTCCTCCATATAGTTCAAGAGCTAATGTTGTCTGCCCTTAATTTTTTTTCCTTCTTTTTTGTTTTGTTTTTCTTTTCATACTATTAATCTCTTTGCCTAAAACACTTAGGAACAATTTCTGCATAATACAATAAGCCACAGTAAATGCACAGTCCTTTATCCTACAAAAAAATCATAAATCAAGGAAAAAGCAAGTGTCACAGATTAACCTTGAAGCTGAAACCAAAGTCACCTTTTGTTCTCTTCTGATATTCTATAATAGCATACCTGTTCTCCAAAAAAACATCTTGTGATAGCTAACAAGAGGACTGAGTGACAAGGTACTGACATGTCTCAGTATAAAATGGGTAATTTGGGGGATAAAAAGTGTTTGTTTTTTAAATGGGACATCTTTTCATAGACCTCAATGCCTTATGTGAAAGCATTTGTAATTGTCTATATTCTTGAAGAAAGAGGAATATCAACTGAGCAAAGGATAATTATAAGGATGTAGGAATAAATTTGGGATACTGAGACTGAGTGCTCCAGGGCTGGATAGGATTACTCCAATTCAACCAGAAAAAGGCTCAAGTAGGAACTGACTTCCTGAAGGACCAAACAACAGAAAACAAGGCATCACCTGGAAGCTCTAACAGTACCAGACAGAGTTGTATCTTGTTACTCCAGCATTTTTCTCATCCTGGGGGAGTTTTACCTTGTGAAACTTCCTACCACACTGCTCCTATTCTGTAAGAAGGAACAGTATATAACCTTATTATCCAGATGTGCACTTGATTACAATCAAAGGAATATAAATGCTTCTTCACTAAACTACATAAAATGATAAACCAAAGAGAATTTCTTCCAATCTTTAAAAGTTCACATTCAAAATTTGTTCTCTCCTGAATCCTGGTGGTATCATCCAAACACTTTGCCAGAATTGGGCAGCAAAATTTCTATTGGCCTATTTAAATAATTAAATAATTGAATTTGCCTAAATTTGGCGATAGAATATTTTTGTCTTAGTTTATGCCCACAAAAACAAAACAAAAGAAAAACCCTGTTTTCCTTTAATTGTTCTGTTGTAATACATGGTTTATGCGTGTAATATGTAGCTTTAAATATTTACATGTAAAAGTTATATAAGAAAAGTAAGTTTCATTTATTCCACCCTATCCCCTAACCACTTAGATTTCCTCCCCAGAAGGAGCCATTGTTATCAGTTGTGCTCTGCTCTAAGAGCAATTCTATGAATATCCAATCAAATGGTTTTTATAAATTCAAGTAACATACCATACACATAGGACTTCCCCTCACTTTTTTCACCTGTCTTGGAGATAATTATAATCTCACAATAGAATGCTTCATTAATTTTAATTGATATCTAATAATACATTGGATGCATCATTATTTATTTATTTTATTGGATTGCTGTTGGTATACATTTTAGTTAAAAAACAAAAACAGTTTAAATTAGTAAGAGCTGGTAGTCATGATGATAAGTTTCTTTTTTAAGACAATATTGGATAAGCATCTCCCACATAGTGACCATCTATGGAATGGCCCTACTCTTTGGAATCTAGAGGGAAGTTCCTAAAAAAATCTTGATTTTTTTGAAGCAAACCAAAACATACCTTTATCCTTGTTTTTTCCCCAAAAAACATCATTTTACTTTCTTACCTTCCCATATTTTCTCATGCTCTTTGCTGAAAATCCATCCCTTCTTAATTTTCACCAATTGTCAGTGTTCTTCCTGTTAAAATGCAACTGTCAAATTGCATTTCCTTCTCTAAGATTTCCACCGTGGCCCCCATCACTACAGAGTAGAATGTGATTTTTGCTCTCATTCAATTTACTTTAGAGATATTTTAACTCCTTGTCATCTTGAATCATCTCCTTTGCCAGACTGCATGCCCATCTAAGATAGTGATGTATACAGCAAAGGGCTATCTTTATAAGAACTACCAGAGGGCCTTTCATTTATTTGTGCTTAATAAATATGTGTTGTAGAAATATATCCTGAGAGTGTGATTCCATTAGATCCTGCTAAATTATAATAGGTCACTGAACTATGAGTCAGTAGCTATAAGCCTTACTTCTGGCTCTGATATTGCTATTAGGTATTTAATAGATGAATTATTTGAACTCTTAAAACATTCATACTTTAAAATGGGGGTGGGTAGGAAGAGATTAACTAAAGAACTTATATACTTACATGCATAGCCCATGGACACAGACAGTAGTGTAGTGAAGGCCTGGGGTGGGGTAAGGACTGGGTGGAAGGGACAGTGAGGGTGGGAATGGGGGGAATCTATAATACATCAATAATAAAATATATATGTATATTAAAAATAAAACAGGAATAAAATATCTGGATTATTTGTATAACTACTTGTGAGAATCAAATGAAATAGTGATTTTATAACAAAAATCTCATCATTGGACAAAAAAAATCAAAGGTCTCCTACTTCAATCACCTAAACATTGCTCAAAATCTCTATACATTAACATCTCTGTAAGTTAACTATAAACTTATACATGAAAATTTCCAGAGGCATAGAAATCTCAATCAATATAGAAGCCCAATTTATGTTTATGCCATTCTGAATATTAATGAGTAGCTATTCAGTGAAACCCATATTATGCCACTTGATGATAAAAGTTTGCTATATCTACTTGGTGCCTGGCTCCCAAGCTCTGTACTGAGATTTCTTTGGTTCTTTCATTAATTTCTCAATAATGCAACCCCACATTTTACAGGTTTAGATTGTTTGGACCACACTGATAGTGTTATTGCAGGATTTTTAAATCTAAACTAACCCTCACAATGATTGAAGAAGATATAAAAAGTATTTTGAACCTTTTTTTGGCCTTCTATAGTGTGTGTAGTATATTCTCCTAGATCAGCGGTTCTCAACCTGTGTGTCACGACCCCTTTGGGGGTTGAACGACCCTTTCACAGGGGTTGCCTAAGACCATCGGAAAACACATATATAATTACCTATTGTTTTTGTGATTAATCACTATGCTTTAATTATGTTCAATTTGTAACAATGAAATTGGGGGTCACCACAACCTGAGGAACTGTATTAAAGGGTCATGGCATTAGGAAGGTTGAGAACCACTGTCCTAGATGGAAAGTTGCATAATAAGTGAGTCTCACATTTGGGTTCCTTTAAACTCTTGTAGGTCAAACCCAAACCATCCCAAACAGGCTT